GACATTTGGTCCGAACTCAGTCTTGGTCGGCGCATTACTTGATCGGATGAGTGGAATCACCGTCTCGTCGGGAAGCTTGACCGCCGAGTTGTACAGATCCAGACGGATCCCAGCTGGGATCATGAAGTCGGTGCCGAGAATCAAATCGACTCCGGCATGATGAGGCATTATCCATACTTCAAACTCGTATGCCACTTCCCAGCCGAGTGTCACCTTCACCACTGCTCTTGACGTTGTCACCATTCTGTCCTTACTTATTCCTTGTATGTCGATTCGCTTATCTCGGCTGGCCACTCTCTTGAGACGCAGTTTCCTCGCGAAGTATTCACTAATCGCCGAAACATTTGCTCCGGTATCCAATAATATCTTGGTCCTTCGGTCGTTCACTGCACCCAATACGAGAGCTCTCATTCTAACTCGGCGATCAAACGTTTGTGCTGACCACCATCCCAGCCGCTCTCCCGGAAGCAGCTTCATGATTCTGGTACGATGCACAGCCTGGTCTGACTGCCGAGTTACACTTGCAATCGCTCGGTGGTTATCATCTAACTCACCGAGCTCACGTTCAATTCCGTCGATTTCACACATCCAATTGCCATCCCCGCTTCTTCCCTCGGGCCGTCCTGCTTCGCCTACGAACGCAAACAAGAAGTTCGCCTCAACTGCAGGTTCAGCTGACTGTGGCAGCCCGGCATATTCCAACCCAGTCAGTGTTGGCGGGCCGCCGAGTTTAAATCACTCGGCGCGTAAAGGTTTTGCAGGTCTTCTGGCACTTGCGACTTGTCGACAGAGTTTTTCACGAACGCAGCCAGCTTCTCATATTGACGAAACAGCTCGCACTGGCCGCCTTCATGGCCTTGTCTGCAGAATTTGCAGCGTCGTCGACAGTAGTGAGCCGAGTGCCCCGTTCTTCCACAAGCTGCACAAGGTCCACGCTGTGAGTTGTTGCGTGATCCATCTCCACGGTTCGACTGTTCTCGTTGGTTGTACGGTCGCGGAGGTCGGTTCGCTGCGTTTCCCCAACTTCGATTCGAGCCTTTCTGGTGTCCCTCCGAGTTCTCTCGGCGGTCGGGTGAATATCCTTTACCATTGGAAACGCCGGCGTCTATGTAGTCGTCGTCTTCCGCTGAGTCGCGTCCTCCGGACTGGTCCTCATCATCCCATTCGTCCTCGGAGCTGTACGGACTCGGCGGGTTCTGATCGATGAGTTCCTCCCCGTCGGAGTCAGCGTCAACGACAGTGACTCGGTGGTCGCGGTTTTCTTCCTTGCGACTGCGCTTCTCATCTCGACGTCCATCTCGGCGTTCATCTCGGCGGTTTTGATCCTTCCGCTTATCATCTCGGCCTCGTGCGATCACGAGTCGGTCGCGTTGCTTCTTGCACTTTTCGCCGAGGATCCGACGATTGATTATCTGTTCCACCTTACTGATGTCTTCCAACTGCAAGGGGTACATCAAATCCATCACATCGTCATCACCACAATGTAGCAAGAAGTGTTCGACATGGTCAGCCGCGTCGGCGCCACCCTTTTCGTACTGGATCTTGGTTGTCCGAGTATACCCGTTGAGTCGGATCAGGAAGTCGCAGATCGGTTCGTTGACTTTACGTCTCGCCGAGTAGTAACGAGTGCGGGCGGATTGGTCGAACTGTGAGCAATAATAATCCAGGAACGCCTCGCTGAGTAGTTTCCAACGTCGCTGAGTCTTCTTCGGCAGCTGCCTGTACCAACTCTTCGCCGCGCGTCCCAAGCATAGCGAGAAAGGCTCGCACCAAGCACTTTGGGGCATCCTGGTGCTCTTCATCTCGTAGATGAAACGCTTGAGCCACTGGAGCGACGCGTCAGAGCGGTAGCGCTTTCCTTCGAACTCGGCGATTTTGTCGATCGAGGCGTGGGTTCGGACTTCTAGGTACTGCGTCGAGTCCTCTTCAGCCGCGTCGAAGCTTAAGTTTCGGATGTAGTCCTTCACGGTTTCTTCACGGTCACCTCTCACGTCGATAGCGTCGTCATCTTCCTCATCCGCCTCGTAAGCCTCAGCCTCGTCTGCAGCGTCATACAATTCACGGTAACGACCAACATCCCGCTGTCCACGACTCGGCGCTCGCTGAGTCGGGTTTAGCTTCATTGGAGTCAGCATGTGGGAGTCTTCAAAGTACGGAGTCCCTTGCGTAGCGTAGAACACTTCACGTCTCTTCGTCTCCGGGGTCTTCGGCAAAGGGATCTTGCTTGGGTCTTCGCCGAGTGGTTTGAACTAGGCTACTCGGCTGTACGCCTTCTTCGTTCCACCAGGGGCCTTCTCCAATCCAAACGCCATTCTCAACTTCTTCTTCCATTGCCAGAGCTCAGCTCCGCCACGGGTCAGACTCCAGTTGGACAGGATGAGGCTGTTTGGTCGGCTGTTGCACCGATAGCCCATCGCCTTCAACAGAAACACAGTTTCTTCCACCAACTGATTTATGTTGGCTGCACTCACCGGCTGAGTTAACTCGGGACCCAACATCGGCCACTTCGCCTGCGCCATCGCCACAGGCGCGAACATCATCATCCATTTCGATCTCGTTCTCATCTCCTCGCCGAGTCGAGCCAACACTTTATTGGCGCTCGGCGTATCGGCGTTCCTCGTCGCTTTCAGAATAAGGGGCGGACGGTCCCCTTGAGCAACGCCTTGTTCTTCTTCATCTTCTTCATCGCATGCACCTTCGTCGAGCTCGGCGGATAAGTTGCGCTCGACAGAACGTGGGGCTCCCATGCGTCCCACCTGCAGCGTCAACTCTTCCACCTCGCCAAGTAGCTCGGCGGTATTTTTCGTTTCTCCGAGCTCAGCGGTCTCGGCCTTCTCTTTATACTCTCCTTCACTTGCATCTCTGTTCTCGCTCTCCTGGTCTTGGCCATCCTCGTCAAACTGGACGGTTCGTCCCACCTCCATCGTCATGGCGATGAGTCGTTGATCCGCCGGGTCCGACCCCGCGAGAGGCGATCCTCCAGCCGTCGCTGGGCTTCCGTCGCTCGGAGTTGCTGATCCCTTGGCCAGCTTCACTCTTCTCTTTCTCTTCTCTTAACTTGGTTAGCTGGCACCTATAAAAACAAGCACACACTCCTGTTCCCGGGTCGCGGCACCAGTTGTGGTGTAGTAGAACACACAAATACCGTCAGATGTGGATTCCTTACACAAACCACAACGAATCGCCGAGTTAGGTCGGCGCTTGTATGGCCTGCGCAGAGGGAGGTCCCCTCGCGGTCCGGCCCTTCCGGGACAGACGAGTGGCTCGCTTCCACTCGGTTCCGACTAACCAAGTCAGATCACTTCCGAGGCTCCGCCGAGTTTGGTTCGGCTGAGCTCGTTCACAGCCCTGTGCCCTCCACCAAAGGATGGACGACGGCGCGCGAGCGCTTTTACAGGTCACCGAGCGCAGAGGCTGCTCAGCTAGAAGTGTTGCGGCACCCGGGCTATCCGACGTACCGGCCCGCTGAGTATGCGGGACTTTCTTTCGCGCGTAGCGAGACTTTGTCCTACCCGGACCGACCTAATCTCTTGGCGCTACCAGTCAATACCCTACAAGCTATGCCTCTCGAGTATTGACGGCAGGCATAATCCAGCCCTATGCAGGGACTTACCGGAAAAGTGTACACGTGTCTTGGACTAGGAAAATTCTGCTCTGTTATCTTCTGGGAGCCCTTTCGGCTCCCCCTATTTAATTCTATGCTTCTCATACAAATATCTAATGAAATGTAGTCGTTTCGGATCTCTACCCGACCCTTCAGCTGAGTTCGGGCGACCGTTGAGCTCAGCGGCTATCCGGATAGCATATCCGGACAGATCGCCGAGTACTTACCGTGGTCCCTTGGCTCCTAGGCTCTGGGGTTATCAGACCGAGCCGATTCTTGACCTAAAGTAGGTCGGCATATGGTCGAATCTGGAAATCCCTACACCACAGAAGGGTTAATGCACAGACTACACGATTGAAGAAAGTCCAATACCTATTCACGCTTTCATTATCACATTAGTAGCTGAACATTGCAGCTAAGTACCACTAGAAAACTCAACTTTTGCATCTTAGTTGTCGCTGTCACCGAAGAGGCTTTTCATGACGCCGTCGCCTGAATCCTCGGACTCACCCGCCCCTACATCGCTTGGCTCACTTCCACTGGCCGAGTCATTTCCGCTGCTGCCTTCATAAATATCGTCATCCTTAAAGCCCCAGTCGATTCGGCGTTTGCAGCACCGGCATCTCCGCCGCTATCGACGTATAGAAATTTTTGAATGAAGGGAGATGCGGACCACAGCTTTGAAACGGTAGCTGCGTTCAATCAATTGAAGGCTCAGCTAGAAGCGGACAGGGATGACCTTGCAAGACGTTGCGAACTCATTATCGGATGCTGCATGCGAAAGCGAGAGACGCCGAATTCGCCGGACCCGACATGGCAAAGCTGAAGGTGAAGCCAGGTTTATCCATCTCCAAGAGCGGTTGCGGACCTACCGTACCAGTATTTGAGTGGAAAAGCATATTGCGTCAGTTTCTCTTCATGCCGCCAACTTTATGGCGAAACAAGAGAAAGTTCAAGAAGTGCGAGACGAGGAACCAGGGCTCCCAATTATGGCATTGTTATTTATCGGGAACCCCCCCTCCCCCTTAGCATAAATAATGGCATTGGGCAGCTAGTGTCAATACATACATTATGGCATGTACAGTGATCAAGTAATAAATGAGAGCATAATGAGGAGCGACCAGGGACGGAACCAGCATTAAATCCTGGGGGGGGGAAACGAAAATTTGGGCTTCAATTATCACAACGCAATCCTTCGCTCTGTCATCCTACTAAACGCGTTAATAAGTCCCTTCTTTGTCGATGGAATTTATGAGGTCTTGCTCGATGGCGAGAGAAAGCAAATCCGACCGCATATCGTGAGCAAATGTAGTTCTTAGACGTGATTTACTCTTTTCATTACTGAAAAGACCGCATAGTGCCCGCAGCTGACACGGGTAGGACACACACTAGACATATGAGTCTGTAAAGTGTTGGAAGCTGTCCAAGCAGCTACTTAAAGGTTAAGCACTGGCGAGGCGCAGTGCAAGTCTGTGATTGAATCTATTTTAAAAAAATCTGAAAAAATCTGGGGGGGGGCGTCTTGTATGACGATCCGCCCCTGGAAGCGACTCAACATCATTTTTAATCCCCCCCCCCTGTCACAAAGGCTTGATAAGGAAGCATATGGGGATCGTCATAGAATGGGCGTTTAGTCCGTTTAGTCTCCAATGTACAGGGCTTGGGGTCCTAACTGTAAAGAGAAAGTTCCTTGGAGATACCCTATCGTAAAGACAGTGCTTCAAACGAGAAGCTTCTGAGCCATTCATTTATTCTCCATAAAGAAACGCGAGACCAAGATGCATCCGCGTCACGCGCGCTGAAGCGGAGGCGTTTCTGCGTCGTCTCGAGGGGAAGGAAGGCGCAGAACGCTCCCGCCTGCATGAAGAGCACCGTGCGTATGTCGACGGTACGCGTGACCGCGATGCTGACTTTGGCGACGAAGTTGCGGATGAACAGCTTGTTTCAGCTCCTACGTCAGCAACGAGAGGAAGGCGGCCTGGGATGACAGTGACTTTACGCAAGCCTCTTGCTCCAGCTACGTACCGGAGGAAGGGCGCACTAGTGAGGTATTACAATTTGCTGGCTAGAGCGCCGCAATTGAAAGGAAAAAGGCGCCAATCGCAGCACTGTATGCAGAAAGCTTGCTGCCGATGCTGATTCTGCTGATGAGGATGGGAGTGACAGCGGAGACGAATATTACGCGGAAACGGGAGAAGGCCAAGGAACTGACGACGCTGAGTTTGACACGGCTACAGCGGCAGAGATTACAACACCGAAGAAGGCGGCGAAGTAAAAAAGACCGGCAAAGGCGCCAGGCAAGGCCAAAGCAAAAGGTAAGCGTAAAAGCGCATCATCCAAGAGCCTAAGAGCTGACAAATCTGCGCGGTCAACAAGCCCACACGTTGCTGCTGATGAAGAAGCCGTCAGGTGAGGAGATTATGCGTTTTTGCGTACGATGTGTTTCTCACACTTCATGCTCGTAATTGTTTGTAGCGATGCGTCTGTTGGTGGCGATTTGGACTAACGAGGTGATCAAGAGGGCAACACAGACTGTCTACGAAGCAAGTTTTAAAAAGTTCTCCAACTTTTGCGTCACCGACGGCTACCCCGACCCTAGTACTACACTGAGCACTGCGTAGTGGTTGACGACGCTGATACGCCGACTACGATAACAATCACCATGCTAGCCTCCTTCATTAGAAAGGCCCGCAAGAACTGTGTCAACAATGCCCAACCAGCCGAGGATCTCCCAGAGTATAGCAACACGTCGCCATCTCCGCCATGTGCAACAAACACAACGCAGGCACATCGTGGACCCATGTCGACATCGGAAGGTGCTTCCTCTGCGCAACAGACATCGCCGCTAACGCCACCTCGATCTTCGGCTGCCACATACGCTGTCACATGATGGATATCCAGCATGTGCGATATTTATTTCTGACAGCATGCTGTATATTACTGTTAATTTTTCAAGGTCACTGAATATGGCTACTGTTATTCACGCAACTACGGCTCTCACGACCCCGCCTCCTCTCTATTTCCGTCAAGTTTCCCGTCAAGATGATGCCATCTATGATAGTGGTGCATTGGATTCGGATTACGATGATTCAGACACTGGGTCAGCTGAATGGAACGAGGACACGGATGATTTTGGAGCTGATATGGATGATGAGATCCCAAGCGAGAGCGACACGTAGACGAGTGATGAACTGTCACCAGATGCACCTCAAACTGGTGATTCAACGAGCTCTACACCTGTAGTCGGTGCAGCTTCTACAACAAACCTTCGCGGGGGACAGCGACCTCCACGAAGTAAGGAGAAGGCCGAACGCTGGAAGGACATCATTGACAATTGGCCCATCGTAGTAGGGTCTGATTTGTTTAAGCTAGCACACGATACGGAGGCGTTAAGAAAAATGATGAAGGATGGATGGGACCTTGTCCAGCAGCAACGTTACGGAACATGAACGCTGTGCTTCCTACTAAGAAAGATGGGGTTTTCTATGCGGTGGCAACCGATCGGCTCTACACATCGATATAAAGTTCGCTACAACTTCTTGAGAGGAACGTCTATTCCATTCAAACTAACAAGAAAGGGTTTCCTCCATCGCTGAAGCAGAAAAAGAAAAAGCGCCCGAAAAACATCGCTCGTGGCACAACCCAAATTGTGATGTCAAAGTCTGTTCCGAAGCTTTCCGCTCTTGTTTGGTTCGACAATATTATCGTGTACATGCTGGCGTGTGGAAGTAGTTATGCAATCAGCTCTTGTGGTATGTTATTCAGTTTATTTTTACAGCCTACTACTTTCTAATCATGTACTTTATTTCAATGTAAAGAGCGACGCCTTCCCGGTACCCAAGGACAGAAGGAGACGGTGCTTTGCCCCGCCGCCATGACGACGTACCATCGGTATATGGGCGGGGTAGATGTCCACGACCAACTTCGTCTGCAGCGAGTATCGCTGCAGCTCTCCCTACGCTTTCGGAAGTATTACAAGAGTTTGGCCATGGGCCTTTTCGACATTGCAATCGTCAATTGCTATATTGTGCACCACGAGGCTTGCAAGCGGCGAGACGATCCTCCTGCTGATCACGCCGGTTTCATCGCTCAGTTGCAAGCCCAGCTACCACAAGTGGGGTCGGCCGAATTTGCAGAAACTGTAAGGAAGGTGCTTATTCTGCCGGTTGCTCACATTGCTAACTATTACTGTATGTGCCCAAAGATGTACTCACCTATACCAGTTACACCATTGCATGGCGACGTCCCACCGTCCACCCGCCAGCTTAAGATGGACGACGAGTGGGGAGGTGAAAGGAAATCGAAAGCGGCGTCAACGGTAGTGCAAGGTCTGTACTATACGGAAAACAAGCAGTACACAGCGGCAGGTGACGCGATTCTACTGTCCCGATTGCAGTAAAGGCTCCAAACGGTACGCTGCTATGCTCTATCGCTCCTACTACGGGTATCTAACACGTATAGTGAAGTGTCTACTTGTGTGACAGGGTGCGCAAAGTACATTATCCAAGTAACAACCAGACTTGGCACTAACTTTGGCGCAATGGAAGCGAGCGCCCACAGCCGCGCCACGGCCGCGGTATTCAGCTGAGGGCCCCACCAAAAAAGCGGACGGGAGGACAAGGGGGTCGTGAAGAGGGAGAGAGAGAGCACCAAGAGTAGGAAACAGTGAAACTGCATAGGTAATAGCCCAAATGGCTTGCTTTTAGCAAACAGATGCAATACACAAATATGCTTTCGTAGCCGTTCTGCACGTGACTCCGTCAAAAACGATTCATTCTCAATAAAACAGCCATTTGCACATGCACGATGTCACGTATGGGCTTTACGGCCATGCTGGATATAAAACATGTGGGTCCATAATACGTACGATTGCAGGATCTTGTACAAATATACAGGCATCGATCTTTTTTTTCCTATACAAATTTTACGTTATGACTTTTTAGCATGCTTAATTTCAAGCATGTGAAAAATAGTCTGTGCATTATAGATTTGCTCTCGTTGCTGGGGGGGGGGGGCTAACAATGCACCGCACGCTGCAACCACCCCGTTTCCGTGCAGTGATATAATAAAACTTGTTCCCTAGTTTGTCCGAAATAAAGAGTGAACACTTCGATAATTAACGTTTCCGAATTCATTTCCAATGAAAATGCTGTGGTTTGCAAGAAATCTTTTCATAAATTATGGTAGATTGGTACTTAAGCAATTAAATTATTTATTGCATTCGTGAAGTCGACGAAATAAATATATCTATGATTTCATAAGAAATTATTGACAGAACCATGTCACATTCGGGAGCCCTGCGACTCGCTGGCTGCAAATAACTCGCTAAGCTGAAAAGGTGATTGAGGATTTCGAGAGTAAAAAACCGTGCGAGACGTACGAAGAGTTCAAGGAGTCTGAGAAGCAGCATATGTCTGATGTTCAACCAGCTCAAGAGTAGAGACGTGATTACCCCATGACATAACAATGATGAATTCTACGACATTTTCACCAGTAATTAAATAGTGCTGTCAAACAAATACGTACGAGTTCATACCTGTTCACACCAAATTGTACGCGATCATACCAAATGGTACGAGATACTCAGACTAAAAAGGACGAGCTCATACCAAAAGCTATAAGTTTTAATGACACCTTTTAAAGACAAGTAGTTGGCCGTATGCTGGCCGTCTTTAGGCCCTGGTCTAAGTAAACTTGCTCCGAGAATAGTAGAAGGGATTGGGTTGGATCAGAACGACTTTCAGGTCAGAGTACGTGTATTCTGGATTTGGCTCCGAGACAAGTGTCAGGTCGGGACGAGTTCGCAGTGTTTGAAGCCGGTGTATAAGTACGTGAAATGCAATGCCGTGTATGAAAGCAGAACATTTCCGCTCAACACTCCTCCAGCTCAATGGACTTATACGCAGGACTTAATATCAACCAGAGATACCAGATCAATATTCGAATACCGTATTCGATGATACCTGATATCAATATTCGATGATACGGCGTAGTCAGAAACATCAGGATCACAGATCCCTTAACCAAACAGAGTATTCACTGGTGACACAATACCAGATACTTAAGTTTACGCAGCAACAAATATTTATGTTTGCCGCTCCCAATGCGATTCATCGTGAAACCAACGGACGACTCTAAGCATTAGAAGCTCGCCACTTTTAGCTTTTGGTTTGCAGTTTCCGTTTTTCTCTCGACCTGGCACATTTACGTATGTAGTTTCCGAGAACAGAGGTGATGGAAGACGACTCCTCCTACCGACCGCTTGGAGAGGCAAGTGAGGCATCAGTCGACTCCAGAGAGTCGAATGATAGTGCTTCTGGTATGCCTGCTGGGGTGGACGAGTCCAGCATATCGCTCTCTACCAAGCACGGCCCACAAAATGCTTTCAACCCTGTTTGGAAATACAGTCACTTAATCCACCTATCAACGATCCCGGCTGTCCCGAGAGTCCTTTCACTCACATTTGTATTGTGTGCTGCAAGAACCTTAAAAGCCCAGACCCTGCGTCGCATTGGTGGAAGGCTTTTCTTATGCGCCACCAACGTCGACTAATGCAAGGAAACACATGCTTGCTGCCCATAAAGATCATCCTTTCAGTGTCGAAGCTAAGAAGAAAAAGGTCGCCGGGGTGTCCACCAGGATTGCTGTATACAATAGTGTTGTTACGGGTGCTGCTTTCAGGAAGAAGAAGCAGAGAACTGTTGTTGAGACTATGGCGGTCAGCGAAGAGGAAGTCAGAATTTTGTGTACGAGATGGCTATTGGCTTCTGGTCTCTCGTACACAGCACTCCAAAATGAAGAGTTACTAGTCCTGTTCCGCCGTATTACCAGCATACCGGGACTCACTGTTACTGCTCGCGATACATTTTACAGCTTCGCAGAGGGCGAGCTCGCCCTATTCACAGCATGGGTCATCCGTACAATTACCTCGGAATTCACAGCAGCTCAGTACTGTCCGTTCCTTGCGGTATTACACGATCTTTTTACAAACGCTGCAAATATCAATATCATTGGGATGACTTTGTTTTTTATTAGCTCGGAGTGGCGCTTGGTCAAAATTTCCGTGTTGGCGCTTCCAAACAGAGCGGGACATGGAGCCGCTGCTGTGGCTGACCGGATAAAACAAAGTTTAAGCTCTCGTTACAACATTGATGTATCAATAGCTGCGAGATTTACTGTGAGCGACACAACTGGGTCTGCAAAAAACGTGTCCGACCATTTCGACGGCTCCGATCAGGTGGACAGTCTAATGCACCTAACTAGTCTCTGTTTACTGTATGCACTTAGTCTCAAAGAAAATACGAGAAAAATGGACAGCTTATCGTGACACCTGGAGGCGAATTTCGTGAGGGTCTTCGGATCATGCAGAGCCTGCGAGATTTGGCTACCTTCTTTAGGTTTCCGTCTCGAGCGGCAAAGCTAAATCAAATAAAAGTGGTGTACAGTCTTCCAGATATCAACATATCTGTCGATGCAAAACCAGAGTCGGTATATGCTGTTAAGCTGATGCGGCGTAGTATTTTCCATCACTACACTTTCAGTAAATACTTCAAGTCAGCGCCCGAGAACGAGCAGAGCACCTGGTTAAATTTATCACAGGAAGATTGGACACTCATTTGGAAATGGAGGGAATTACTGACCAGCTTACATACTTTAGACTAAGTGCAAAAAGAAACAGTCTCGAATTCGTACGCGCCACTATTTCGAAAAATGATTTCGCTGTCACTGGAAGCTGAAACACTTGGTTGTCTCGTATATGAGCGCCACATCCTAAAAGCGAATAAATTCTCTCATCGACGCGAGGCAAAACCTGTTTGCACTTTCTCGGTGCAAGGAAAGCGATGCCGAGATCGATTGCGTGGACAGCTTGCTCTGTGTTTTTTTGGTGAA